GGTACATGAGACAAGTGCTCGGGCCTGGTGCACTGGGAAGACCCAGAGGGATGGGGTGGAGAGGGAGGTGGGAGGGGGGACTGGGATGGGGAATACATGTAAATCCATGGCTGATTCGTTTCAATGTATGACAAAAACTACTGTAATGATGTAAAGTGATTAGCCTCCAACTAATAAAAATAAATGGAAAAAAAAAAAAAGTTTCTAGGATTAGAATAAAGCATTTCCTTCCAGAAAATATAAAAGCAAATTATCTTGTCCAGCACCACAGCAGTGATTTACACCTGAGGAATGATGCTGTGAGGTATCTTTCCAGAAGAGTGGTGAAGGATGTGAACTGTCACAGCCACAGTCTGTCCTCTGGTTCCATTTAAAACACCTGCAGCTTCCAATAGGCTGGTTGAGGGCAAAGACCTAAAGACTGGGCTTACAACTCTGGCTTTTAATGAAGGCTCCATCCTCTTAACCACATGGTCAGATTTCTCTTCTAAAACAGCAATTTGCTAAAATGTTTACTCCAATCTAAAACTATTGCTTGCTTTCAAAGTAACTAAGATAGTTCAAGATAGTAGCTGTGTCCTTAACAAAGACTTACTCTTTATATACTTATATCATCATCTTTGGTTAAAATCATTTTGGAGAACTTGTGGCAATTAACTTAAAAAAGGTTATTAACAGCTTATTAGTTACCATGGAGCCATTACATTACAAATAAAACACAAAGATTTTAAGCACTTGCATGGATCCCAACATCTGTTTCAAACATACACTTTTCAAATCAAGAGTCAGACTGTTTGGATACATCTGAGACACACAACATAGACTTAATCCCACACTGTGCTTTGTTAGTATTCCCCAGCATACTATTTGTCTTGGCAACTTGTGATTTCAAAAACTAACAGAAGATGACTTATAAGGAAACGTTTCCTTTTGTATATAGTTTGGAACTTTTCCTTTTGTATATAGACTGGTCTCAAAAAAACAGAGGCTTCTGGTTTTTGGAGAACAAACTAAAATATCCTAAAGGAATACCTTCATTCTTACCTGAGGTCAGACAGGTAACCAGGAGAAAGGGTCTTATTCCAGTGAGCTACATCCTTAGAATAGGTGGAGTTTAGAAGCTTTAGAGCTTCAGATTTAGAATCTGACAAGTTAGACTCTTTAGTGCTTCCCATGAATAGGAAAATCCTATGAATCTTAAACATAAGACTGCTGAAAACAAAGAGGGGAGCTGGGGGAGAGAGGATACCGATAGATCTTATTTCCTCCCTTTTGTACTTTTCTGTTTTCTTGTCAGCGCAGGAGCAAGGACAAAGCCTGATTAAGAAGAAACTGGGCCGAATTGAACAAGGCAATCTGGGTCTGGAAGACTGGGCTGATTGCTTATCCCTCTTGTGAGCATCAGCAAGTCTTTCTGCTGACTCGTAGGAGGTGGGGATGTCAGAGGAGTTTGTAGTGCCCACTTCCTCTTCACTGTTCTTACTGCCATCCAGGTTTGCCAGCTGGCTGGAAATGTAATGTCCTTCAATCCATGAGGACCTGCTCTTTTACACTGTAACTCCAAGCTTCCCAGTTCCAGAGGCTTATTAATATGAGACAGGGGGTTTCTTTTATCTGATTCCAGCAATCTATATTGAGCATGAATGAAGTTTAATCCTTGGTGGGAGTTTTCATCCAAAAGTGGGTGCTGACAAGCCTGATGCACTAGGAAGAGCTCTGGGCCTGGGGTTCTAGAACCTTGATTCCAAGGGTAGTAGCTCAGCTATGTATTTATACTCTAGTAGTCTAAAAACAAAATAAATAAAGAAATAAAAATAGAAAAATGCCTCTTTATAATATTGTCATAAGGGTAAAATAATACAAGAGAAACTCTAGTCGTGTATACTCCTGATACCTAGTAATAAATGTTAGAAGAATTTCAGCCTCTCATTGGTAGGAAATAATGAGAGAGTCAAGGTGGGTGGGAGAGAGATGGAGATGTTTCTCACAGAAATGTTCTCCATTTCTGCTTCCTTAAAACTCATTTCCCTGTAGCTCAGCCTCTAAGGAGGTAATAGAAATGAAATACTGGTGATGCAGTTAAGTACTACCTGAGTTAAGTACTTCCTTTCCTCCTTTTCTATAAGTGTCTCGGCACCCTATGGAGTTCAGCAAAAGAAAGAGCTGTGACCTGGAAACAGAGTGTGAATTACCCAGTGAACCACAAATATTTGAAACCTGGAATCATAAATCCACATATTTGGAAAATTAGTAGAGCTGTTTTTAACCCAAGTGGTAGGTAGGCTTGGTGACAACTTGAAGGTACATGCCACAGAGGTATATTATTCCAGTGCCACACCTTTTCTCCCCAATAATCCCATACACACTTATATCACTTGTTTGTATGACTGGCTAAAGACTGCCCTGATTAATGGCTGCATGAAGGAATAATAATTAGCAATCAGAGCAAAATTAAATTCCTGGCTGATTCTGAGCCCCTTAGTAAAATGCAACCCTTGAGGATACTGTCACATTCCTTTATTTACTTGCCATTATGCCACCAGTCACCCTAATTAAGACAGATTTGTACTTATTAAAAATGTATAATCTTTTGATCTTCTGAGGAGCTATTTGCCATTTTTTGCTTGCCTAGCACCCCATCACCTTTCTTCTGGGGGAACCCAGTTCAGGTGGATGGACATATGACCTAGGCCTGGTCAGTTAGAGTGCCCCCCCACCCCCCACCCCATGTTGCTTCGACCATACCTATGAGCAAAAACACCTTTCCTTTCTTATTCTGAACTGGGTAACTTTCACCTGCATTCAAGAGACTCAAGCATAAAAAAATTATAGCCAACATTTTTGGGTCTGATTTAGCAATGGTTAACACCATGCTTATTATTTAAGCATGTAGAGTGGTTCCAAGAGTGTTTTAACAGTAAGAATAAGAAAACGTGTCTAACTTATTGAGCCAATGAATATCCTCTAGAGACTTCATGGGAAACAGATTCCACTGTCACCACTACAGTTTGGTTTTGCGAGCAAAACTTTCACCATGCCTTAAAACAAAAGTCAACATGCACCAATTTCACAAGATTGTTTTACTAGAATTTAGCAGGGAGGAGATGATATAGTCAAATTTTCACAAAAGAAAACCTTCAGATCTCAGCCAAATAAAATTCAGGTTCTTATTTCAGTCTCAACTGGCCTGGGTACCAAAGCAGCCTCTCCAGGCATGCACTGTCCAAACTGTGAGTTGTATGGCCACCCTGTCATGCCCTTGAGCTCTCTGCATCATGTCTCAGCGATCCCAGACACGAATTCTGAAAAATTCCTTCTGCCTATATGGTTTTCCTCATCCAGCTGAGAATGCTGCTGGCTACTGCGAAGCTGTTCACCAACCATAGGCTCTGGTCCATACAGCTTTCTTCTTAAACTCTGGGAGCACTCTCAAGGACAGCAGGGTAGCTAAAGGGGACAAAAAAAAAGCACACTGTTGCATTTGGTGCAGTTACATTTGAAAAGATGATTTAGATCAAAAAGGTATCAGAACAGAACTTGACTTGTTACTGCTTGGCTAATCTTTAAGAATTACTATCAAGCCTTAGACAGAATTTTAATGGAAGAAACCATTTGTAAAGGTTGAGGAAAACGTTTTTTTAAAATTACTTTGCAACCAGGTAGTGAGAAATTCCACAGGTTTAAAACAGACTGACTTCTGGGATGCTGGTGATGCTCTTTTTCTTAATCCAAGTGCTGACTACATAGGTATGTTCCCTTTGCAAAAATCTACTTGTGCACTTTTCTACACGAATGTGACTTTTCCACTAAATGTTTTATTAAAAAGTAAACAAACTGATCCTGTAATGAAGCTAGGTTCATGGGCTCAATTTAAAGTAAGGAAGTTGTGTGTAATCCCTCTAGGTAACTTATTATATATCTTATTTTAGAATATGAATATAAATATCAGTAGATTGATATTATTTAAAGTATAATAGTGTGAGAGAATGAAGATAAGTCAGAGTTATACAATAATTATGTGTGACTCTAATAAGCCCTTGAATATATGACCAAGTGAACATGTACTTCCTTGACCCAAATAACAATTTCTTTCACTGGAATTAATTGTTATCTTCATGACCTAAGACAGTATTTGTTGGGAACAACCAGTGGTATTATGGACCCATGGCCCTTAAAAATGAGTCCAAATTCCCCAAGGAAAATAAGTAGAGAAAGTCCTAGCAGCAAATTTCTTGGGAATGGTCAAGTGAAAATATGTCAGACCACTGCTCTGATCCTCAGTGAAGCTCGGTGGTTGATCAGAATCACCTTTCTACACATGCCCTCTCACCTACTTTAGAGGGAGGAACAGTGCATTAGATAATTCTTGCTTGTTAGGCAATCAATACAATATACCATACTTAAAGCAAAATATGAGTTATCACAAGAGAAGGTCAACAGGCAACTTTCCCAAGGTAAGACTTTGCAGTGCAGTAACTTAAAGTATGTCAGTGGCATCAGTGGCAGCCACTGGGAGGATCCTGACCCCCAAGTCCCAAGATGTGGATGACAGTACAAGCTGTCTCGGACCACAGAACCAACACCCAGAAGATGTTTGAGGTTTGAGTAAAAACATCTATGTAATTTTCACAGAAAGACTGCTTATATTTGTGGATCCTGCAGTCATAGTTTAACAGTCAACAGAGATGTATAAAAAACAGGAAAACCATCTAAATGCCTGGAAGTATGGGAAATGTCCAATTCCCCTGGGAAAATACTATACAGCCACGAAAAATACTTATGAAGTTAGTGTAAGAACAGGTTAAAATGCTTTTAATAATTTTAAAGTAAAAAAAGGCAGTACTCAAAGTGTGTATGTACTTTTTTCAATTGGCTATGATTATAAAAATGTTAAAACTTACACACAGAGTGGGTAACACTTAGGAAAAATAATCAAAATTGTCATGTGCAATGGGCTTCAGGATTCCTCTTTGCTTATTCTTTTTTACTTTTCTGAATTTTCTAATTTTTATTTAGTCATATTTTATGATTATAATAAAACATTTAAAAACCACTTAAATAAAAATTAAAGTGGGGGAAGCGGAATCTACACCTTCCCTGCCAGCGGTAGCAACCGCAGAACTGCAGGAGACAATCTAGACAAGGCAGTTGAGGAGGAGGGGGCGACTGAAGCGGGGGTTGACTTGGCATGCACTGCGCCCCTCGGGATTGTTATTGCATGTGAAACGGCTGCTTTTGGAAGGCTATTGCCCAGAAGAAAAGATGTTTGGTTTTCACAAGCCAAAGATGTACCGAAGTATAGAGGGCTGCTATATTTGCAGAGCTAAATCCTCCAGTTCTTGATTCACTGGCAGTAAATGCTATGAAAAGGATTTCCAGAGCTGTTTTGGGTTACATGAGACTCATTCAGGAGATATCTGTAATACCTGTGTCCTGCTTGTGAAAAGATGGAAGAAATTGCCAGCAGGATCAAAAAAAAACTGGCATCATGTGGTAGATGCAAGGGCAGGACCCAGTCTAAAGACTACACTGAAACCAAAGAAAGTGAAAACTCTATCTGGAAACAGGATAAAAAGTAACCAGATCAGTAAACTGCAGAAGGAATTTAAAGGCCACAATTCTGATGCTCACAGTACAACCTCAAGTGCCTCTCCAGCTCAGTCTCCCTGTTACAGTAACCAGTCAGATGATGGCTCAGATACAGAGATGGCTTCTGGCTCCAACAGAACGCCAGTGTTTTCCTTTTTAGATCTCACATACTGGAAAAGACAGAAAATATGCTGTGGCATTATCTATAAAGGCCGTTTTGGGGAAGTCCTCATCGACACACATCTATTCAAGCCTTGCTGCAGCAATAAGAAAGCAGCTGCTGAGAAGCCGGAGGAGCAGGGGCCAGAGCCTCTGCCCATCTCCACTCAGGAGTGGTGACTAAGCTTTATGTAGAAGGGGAGCAAAAATAATTTAAATTTTGGAAAACAAAGCAACAAAATGACCCTCCTATTTTTAATCTGGGTACCTACTATTCTGCCAAAAGATGGATTTGTAGAATAGTTTTGAATGGGTTATTTTTCCTCCATTTCCACAAACTCTGAAGCCAGTGAAGCTTACTAAGAGATGGAAAAGAAATGTACATAATATTTAAGATGCTGAGTATTTCATAGGAAAGCTGAATGCTGCTGTAAAGTGCTCTTTAAGTCTTTTTAAAAAATCCCCTTCTAATGAATGAAATTAGGGGAATTTTCAGGGGACAGAGATGGGATTTGTTGTATGATAAACATATGCAGTTTTAGTCTTTCTATTTTGAGAAGCAGTGGTTGGGGCATTTTTTAAGATGGTTGGCTACACTTGTTTTCCTTCATTATAATAAATTTGTAAACATGGACTTGCCCCTAGAGGTAGTTGTTAATAACTGAAATATTAAGGTCTTGCCAAGGTTTCTGGTGATTCAAACCTGTACTACTGAATATTAAGCAGGACAGACAGCTCTCTGGTGCGAATATCTTGAAGGAGTAGTTTCTAAATATGCAGAAGTAACTTGACTGTATATGTTGCATCCTGTGTCACCTCCCTCCATATTGATATTTGATACAGATTTTAATTTATATGAAACTTAAAAAGCAGAACCAAAACTTAAAGCAGAATCAAAGTTCCTCTTGGGGAAATGTCAAGTCTTTAGGATAAGCAATCCTATATGAATAGTACCAAAGCATTACCACTTGGTAGAGAACATTCTCTATTAAAAATGTTAGATTATCTGAAAAATAACAATGTGCAAGTCTTTAGGATGGCACATGAAAAAAACAAAGGTTAATGCTTCTTGGGGCACATTTCTTAGAGGGCTTGCAAGTGTGTAAATAATTTATGTTACATGACTGGTGACTTCACTGAAAATCTGCATAATTCAGTTTTAGCTCTGGATTACTTCAGTTGACCTTTGTGAAGGTTTTATCTGTGTAGAATGGTTGTTTGACTTGTTTTAACCTGTTAGGGTTTTGGGTTTGTTTTTTTTTTCATTCTATATTAAAGTAAAATTCTACTAAAAGAAAAGAGGTGTGTGTTAATGCTGAGTGGGTTGGTTTTGGTTTGGCTTCTTTTAGTCAGGCTTTCTGAACATTGAGGTGTTAGATGATACATCCTAAATGTGGAGCTCTTCCATTCTAAAACCTTCATTAAAAGCCTTTTACTTGAACCCAAACCAAAGTACTATCTATTGCCTCTTTTCTAAAAGTACAGGAAAAATATATCACCCATTTTCATAATGAGGAAGGATCATTTGCCTCCTTGGTAAAACATGACTCAGTGCTTATTTTTAAAACTGGATTTTAAAGATTGGATAGTATACATAACAAGAGAGTGAGCCACTTTTTATAGGCACCCTATAGTTTTGTAGTTCTTAATCAAAACTTAAAATTTTATATTTCTTCCTTTGGAAAAAACTACAAGCCACCATATGCACAGACTACACAGTGAGTTGGGTCAGTGATCCCACAGACTTTGAGGTATATTATAAGAACCCCAGTCATTATCATCTTCCTTCTGAGTTATTTTGAAATTTTTTTGGTACATTTTGGCTGCAGTATTGGTGGTAGAATATACTATAATATGGATCATCTCTACTTCTGTATTTATTTATTTATTACTAGACCTCAACCACAGTCTTCTTTCCCCCTTCCACCTCTCTTTGCCTGTAGGATGTACTGTGTGTAGTCATGCACTTTGTATTAATATATTAGAAATCTACAAATCTGTTTTGTACTTTTTATACTGTTGGATACTTATAATCAAAACTTTTACTAGGGTATTGAATAAATTTAGTCTTATTAGAAAATAAAAATAAATAAAAATAAAAATTAAAGGCCATGGAATTCTTCTTTTTAAATCCACTTTCTAATTCAAAAATGCCATACTGGTGACAGCTTCAGATTACTCCTCTAAACTGAACCAAGATGAGTCCTTTCAGGAGCCAGCATATGCGAGGATGCTGCTCTCCAGTGGAGACAACACTGGGTGGTTTTCACCTATGCTGGGCATAAAGGATGAAAGTAATACCTTTTAAAAGATCCCTGGATTTTGCTGAGAGTCCTTCCTTAGGGCTTTCCATGATGCTGAACAGCCAGTCAATGAACTAGAGTGAAAATGAAGAATGATATCAGTGACAACAATCTCAGGATTGGTAAGACATCATTCAAACCCTTGGACCTGCACATATGCCTAACAGGACAGTAGTCCCCAGATAACACCTGCCTGGGCTGGGAGAGTGAAGAGGAGACATGACCAGGCACAAGAGATGGGAATGTGGGAAACAGCCTTCAGTTAAATGACCCAGCAAAGTTAGACCTCCTTCTTTCACTGATTGTCCCGGGACTTACTACAGCTTAAGAGTGGGGTAGACAGGGGCCCAGAGGGCCTCTGGTGTGCCATGAACATTCTCTCTCACTACTCTAAGAGGCCCTAGAAAGAGTAAGAGCCTTGCCCAAGTCCACTCCCCATGACTGGCAGAGTCAAGATCTGAAGCCAAGTACATCTGGCTGCAAAGCCTCACACTCCTTCACGCCATGCCGCCTGCCACCTGGTTCCGTGTGCATCAGGCCTAGGCTCCTGGGTGGGCAGTAAATGGGTAAACACATCAGCTGTAAGCCCCTGTTACTAAAATATGTTTCTGTAGCTAAGAATAGTTTGTGCCCAAATGGATATGAAGCCAAGTTGAAATGCAACAGAAAAGGTGTAAGACAATTTGCTAGGTAGACCCAAGCATGTTAACTGCAAATAAATCCTGCAAACGGTAGAAACTCCACGTACTCGTGAGTTTGATCTCCCGGGTATAGCCAAAACTGTTTTTGAATTAGATACTGGGTAATTTCATTGACTGAATGTTCCCTATCTTGACTCACTAAAAAATACTAGTCATAGGAACTAGGCATTTTAATTTTGGACATAGCATGTGGGTTGAAAAGAAAACAGAAAAATAAAATATTCCCAATTCCCTGCTTTAATTAAAATTTTTTCTTTATTTTCTTTTCCTCAATTTTGTTTTATCATATCCTCCTGGTAAGTAAATAAATCAAGTACTACAAATACATGATAGATGCAAGATGTCTATGCTGTAGTCCAAAATGAACCGGGTGTCCCAAACCAGAAATAATTAAAGTGAAAAAGAAAATACAAAATTAGAGGTAATAACGCTAATGCTTATCAGGTTTAAGAAAACAAAAGCATTTTATTTGAGATGTTCGATGGCGTTGTTCATGGATAAACTGTGGGTCTATAGTTAAGATATATTTTTAAAGACTAAGGTTCAGATTTTGAGTAAGCCACAAAAAGTTGGCTGTAAGCTTTCAACCTCATAAAGATCCAGTTTGATTACACGGGATTAAAAAAAATCCTTCAATTGACAATTCAAGACAGGTTCAGTTCAGTTCAGTTCAGTCGCCCAGTCGTGTCTGACTCTTTGCGACCCCATGAGTTGTAGCACGCCAGGCCTCCCTGTCCATCACCAACTCCAGAGCCATGCATGAGAAATACAGGATGTGCCTCATTTTCATATGCTCTGCAGGACAGCTAGTCGCCTGGGGAAACTCAGTATTAAAAACCAAAAGGTACTCCCTATAGTTTGTGTTTTCCTGAGGGCAAAGGGGATGACATTAGGCCTTTACAGATCTCCCCATGGTATCTAGCACAGGCCAGAAGCACCTGGAACGTGGCTACTACATGGAATGAGCTGTGGGGAACCTTAAATATGGTAAAAGATGGATACTCCAGATTCACAGCTCCCCTGGAAGATTTCCCCCCACACTTTGTTGATCACGCCCTCCCTTGTTTAACAACTGTATCCTTATCACATGTGAGCATGCTCTGTTGTGTCTGACTCTTTGTGACCCCATGGACTGTAGCCTGCCAGGCTACTCTGTCCATGGAATTTTCCAGGGAAGAATACTGGAGTGGGTTGCCATGTCCTACTCCAGAGGATCTTCCCAACCCAGGGATCAAACCTGTGTCTCCTGGGTCTCCTGCATTGGCAGGTGGATTCTTTAACACTGAGAGCCACTGGGGAAGCTCATCCTTATCGTACCATCTTGCAGTTTTGAACTTGCCTTCCCGTCTGTCCTCACTATGAAATTCTGAGCTTTCAGAGAGTTACTCATCCTTTATCCCCAGGATCAAGAACATGTAAGTCTTCAACAAATGAAGGCAAGCACAAGCTTTTCTTTCCATCTCACCCCTAACTGTAAGCAAGTTATTGCCATCATCACTGTTGTTTTCAGCCAGCAGTTACCCTGAGCCTGAGCTACCCTCAGTCTCTGTGGCCTTGCATCTGGCTGAGATGTGAGACTGAGTAAGAAAGCCTGTCGTGTGACTCAGGTTTCACTTATCTCCCACTGCAATTCTACAGCAGAAGCTGCCGAAGAGAAAACGGCCACCTGCCCTGAAGCAGGTGGCTGCCAGTCTCACCTTCTGGGTCTGTTCCTGCCATGGCTCCTTCTGCAGCAGAAGAGGCATGCTACTGGGAAGGAGAGTGAGAGCCTCCTGCAGAGTGACCCTGTGTAATGGACTCCTGCCAAGCAAGCTTGATGCTGGCCCAGCTGGGCCATGTTCCTGATGCCATGGCAACCAACTGGCACTGAGGCCGAGGAGGAGAGGGGCAGCGTGGTCTGCCCATGCAACCACTGCGGCTGCGAATATCAGCAGCAAGAAGTCCAAAGCCTACGGCAGAAGTGGAAACACGGTTAGGTCACATACTTTAACAGTGCAAAGTAACACATGTTCACACACACAGCTCGCATCATGAGGAAATGTTATCTTCCCCTTCACCCAAGCCTTCCTCCTGCCCCACCCCTACCCCACAAGAGGAACTGGATAGGATAGCAAACCGTTTCCATGCTTAATGAAGAGACAGTCTGGGGTTTCAGAAGGTTTGAAGGATCCTCTTTCGTGAGTAGAGAAGGCCCAACAGTTCATTATTATTGTTCTAACATTTCAAGAGGAACATAATTTATTTAATGCCTACTTGTACTGAGATCCAAACATTCATCCTCTGTTTTGGTGTTTTCAAAAGAGATTTAAAAATTAATTAAGAGAGGTATGAACAGGGACATTAAGGTTTATTATCATGTGGCCAAAATTAAAAAAAATATGTATAGTATATTCTGTTTTTGAACAGAAACAACATGTGACTTTTCATATGCATTTAAAAAAATCTGTTTAGAATCCATGCATTTAGATTTTATAGACCAGACACATAGAAATGGTGATAACAAGGGCTACCTCTGAGTTACTGCATTACTGTGATTTAAATGATTCTTTCTGCTTATTTGTATTTTCTAAGTTTCAGAAGATTTTTGTAAGAAAGCAGAGAAAGTTAATCTAAACTTTGGAAATAAGAGGAAAGCTAAAAAAAAAAAGCTTAAAAAGTACCCCTCAATCTCTTAAAATGCCTTATCTCATTAATAAAAATCTCAAAAAGACACACAGCTCTGCAGAAAAGCTGGGCAGAATATCAAACAATATCCCAGGTTACACATATTTTAAGTAAACAGCAGATCTATGAAATATGGCTATGGAAAATTACAAAAAAAAAATGCACAGCTGAGTCAAGAAAATGGCAAGAATAGGAAAGAGCTTCCTTCATTTTTTTTCATTAATTTTTTTTTTTCTGGTCTTATTCACCTAATACTAGTGATGGTTAACCTCTTTGGGTCATAGATCATTTTCAGGTAGAGTGAAAATTCCCCTTCAATATGTGTGTGTAAGTATTGGCACAAACACAGATTACTTGCACACACTTCAGGAACCCCTTCAAACCAGGTGTTTAAAGCCAAGCTCTGGACCACGGTGGAGGCCAGAGCTCTGCACCCCATAGTCTTTGTGGGATCCAGCTCAAGTACACAGGACCTTAGATTCCCCCTCTCGCTAGAACTTCTGTGTGCTGCCTGTCAAAGGAGGTGTTCCGATGAAAATGTATTTCAAAGGGCAGCTGTGGGGATCTTTAAGATTCTAGTAAGAACACCCGTTTCCTGTGATGTCAGAGAATTGTCATCCTTGTTTCCCAAAAATGAAGGGAGGAAAGAGAGCTGCAAGCAGCAACATGTTCCTCTTTTGGGAGACTAAATATACTCTGTATTTTAAGAAAGCCACAAATGACTCCTTTAGACTGTACCTCATCAAGAGCCACGTTCTGAACAGATGTTGACTGGTAAGCAACATTTCTGATATAACCCATCAGTTCCAAGAGCCACTCCATTCTCTTCAACACGCCTGAAACAAAAGGACATGTATTACCAGACCATGGTTTTTCTTTGCAATGTAAGACAGATCAATAATAATTGTCATAACTAAAGCAAAAGACCCGCTGAGGACTCTATACAGCCGTTACAAGTCCTCTTCTGGTACCTGAGACTTGTTCTCACACAAGAGAGATTTTTTTTTTATACTATTCACATCAGATGACCTTATTTTGGTCTTTATTTTTAAAAGCTCAATTTATTCTTCAAATCTGACAAATGGTCAAATGCATTTAATGGAATTTCTCAACACTAAACACTGGGAGAAACTGGACATGCCTATGAGTTAGAAGTGTTAAATCTTTGATAATTAATTGTTCTTATAGTCCTCCCTTACTTAAAGTTCTCAATTTATGACAAAATCATACAGAATACCTATCCTAAAGACATTAAAAAAAAGCGCCAAAACCAAAACCCAGCTGTAGTAGGCTAAATAGAGAACAAACATTAACATAAATATAATTTTTTCCTTTCAAAAATGAGGATTCCCAGCACAGCAAAGACTATTTGGAAAGATCTTCAAAATTTAGTGCATGAGAGGAAAATGGCACTGTGTTTGTGCCAGTACTTACATGCACATATTGAAGGGGAATTTTCAACCCACCTGAAAACGATCTATGACCCCAAAGAGGTTAACCACCACTAGCATTAGATGAATAAGACAAAAAAAGAAAAAAAGATTAATTTAAAAAAATGAAGGTAGCACTTTCCTACTCTTGCCATTTTCAAAACTCTTGCCACTTCAAAATTCAAACTAACTTTGAAGGCCAGCTGGTTACGACCAAAGGCAATATCAAATTTATTTGTTTCTTTCATGTATCTTCATGCTTAATTGGGAACACCTACTAGTTTTCTACCAGATAAATATACTTCTGAGGTAGAGTGAAAAAAATCTCATTTTTCATCACAGGTTCACTTTTCATTGGGCAGGCACTAATGTGGACAGGAGACAACTATCTCAGTTGCCAAAGAGGAAGAGAAATCAAAATTTCCTACACAATCTTGCAAAGAGTATTTAAATTGTATTTGTCAGCCTTCTCTCATAGCCTTCAAAATACAAGAGATAGGGAATATGGCTTACAAGGGCCTTCTAGTCAGGTCCTGAACATAGATTCGGAAAATTACAAGCATGTGACCAAAGGCATGGAGGAGAAATGAGGAGCTCCCTCTTTATTTTTTCCTCCTATTAATTTTTAACTGGAGGATAACTACTTTACAATATTTGTTGACCTCTGCCATACATCAACATGAATCAGCCACTGGTATACACTTGTCCCCTCCCTTCTTGACCCCCCTCCCCCCTCCCACCCCTCCAAGTTGTCACAGAGCACTAGGTTGAAGGAGTTCTCTTTTTAGATGATTATTACAGCATAAATGTCTAAAATGGCCTAAAAGTTGCACCATTCATTAGCAGAGCTTCAGGCCTGGAGTTTCTGACGTGAGGATATAGTCAGGGTGTCCAGATTTTATTCTTCTCACCCCTGAGAAGTTCTTCTCTAGAATAACTATTTAATTTGTGGTTGCCTCTTTTTTTTTCTGTTTGTTAAATGACCACCCAAAAGCCATGTTCATGAAAACATCAGGCAGAATCCATTAGCATCCATCTGTTTGAGAAACAGAAGCAGGCAGATTCAACCTAAAAAACCTGCTTATGTCTTTGTGGGCCTGGAGGGCCAAATATGAGATCCAAATCTCCAACAGAATTTATTCTCACCTACGAAGAGTTGCTGCTGTGAGCTGTAATTGTGCTTTTCTATCCCAGGTGCTGCTCATTTGGGGGTAACAAGTCCTCACCCGTGTCAGGAAGCCCTAAACTAGTTTTTAAGTTGAGGAAACAATGATAACCTCAAAGAGATGATGCGCATGCCTGTCTGTCCTGATGTTCTCCCTGGCTGGCCTTACCAGTGTTGGCATGGCTCACGATCCGTGCCTGGTATAAGCTCTGCAGTGTCATCCAAGCCAGCGTGTCTTTTTCACGGTGCCGGACAGCAACAGTGAGCACATCGGTCAAGCCCATCAAGGGGAATCGTCCTTGAGAGACCAAGTAGAGCCTGACAAAGGCAGCCTTTTCTAGGCTACTCTGCAAAAAAGCAAATTGTTCAGTTGCTATTAAATTAACTGAAGTTGTTATAGAACCTTGGGGCAAGGGCAAAAGAGAAAGGGTGAGAAAGGGTGGAGTTGATTACCACTCCAAATGCTAAAACTGTTTGTTTCCTGCACTGTGTAACCTATCTGCCTGTGTGCTGTCTCAAAATGTACCTACAGACAGTTGCAATGTCACCTTTTGTTTTCTCATAAAAACCATCAATGATTTCAAGGGTCAACTGGTGAGGATATTTAGTAAAGACACACAAATAATAACAATGATAACCAACAAATGCAGTACTTACAATGTGCCATGCACATTTGAAGCACTTAACCTGCGTTAATTTGGCATTTCACAAAGTTTGGTACACAGACCTCTGGGGGACCCAAGACCCTTTTAGAAGAGAGGGTCTGTGAGGTCAAACTATATTCATAATAGACCCCAAATAGGAGTAATATTCATTGTATTTTTTACTGACACTGACAATTTTTTAAAAATCTAGTTTCATTTAAAATATCCTTGTAAACAATAAAATTACTAGTTTTGTTAAACCTCTGCCCTTGAATATACATCTTTGTAATGTTCTGTGTGACCAAATGGGAAGTATGCATAAAGCTCTTGTGCTGCATCCCCAAGTGTGATGTTCATCTCAAGGAGAAAGTTGTCAGAGTGAGTTGTGAGCTGAAATAGCCACTCTTTTCACAGACCACCATTTATTTACTTGAAAGAATGACTGATAAACAAACTATGGTTATGAAAACTGAGTATTTGATTATTTTTTAAAAGTGAAGGAAATGAGACTGCCATTTCCAAGGAAAATACTTGACAGTAGTTAGTGCCAATGACAAAATGTGTGCTTGTAAGTGAAAACTAGATTTTGGAAAATCTGTATCTGCTACTATGACTTTGGCAGCTTCCCAAGATACATACAAGACATATATACATAAAAGACTTTTCTGATGAGGTTGCCGGTAATAGTGACAAATACGATGTTTTGATGTTTATAATGAAATGTACCAACATTTGGAAGATTTTCAAAATTTAGTGACTCAATATTTTCCAAATGACCAATATATCTTACAAATCTTGCAATAGTATCTTATAAAATCATGCATTGGTAAAAGATCCACAGTGCAACGGACCAATGGATTTTACTGTAACAGAGTATGAAGTTCACTGATCTGGTTTCAGATTCCACACTGCAACTAACCTATAAGAAATCACCACTTGCTGACTTTTGGTACAATATCAAAGAAGGATATGCACATGTTATCTGAAAAGACTACTAACTAACACTCTTCCCCATTCTACCTTCCTGTCTCTGTGAGGCTGGATTTTCTTCACATACTTCACCAAAATGACATCACAACAGATTGAATGAGTAGCAGTCATGAAAATGCAGCTGTCTTCTATGAAGACATTGAAGAGACTTTCAAAATGTAAGACAATGACACTTTTCTAATTTTCTAAAACCTGGTTTTTGGGAAAAAAATTTTTTCTTACATGTTAAGATGCAATGGATTTATTACTACTTTTAAGTAATATTGTAAAATTTTCTAGTTCTAATTTCTAACATGGTAAACACTGACAGATATAACCCACATAAACAAAAGCTCTTTGAAATCCTTGATAATTTTTAAGACACTAAAGTGGCCCTGAGACCAAAACGTCTGAGGACCACTGTATTAATCATTTCATTCTCATAGTAACACTGAGCAATAGATTACTATTATCATCCTCCTTTACAGATGAGGAGACTGAAGCACAGAAGTTAGGGAACTTGCTTAATGCCACAGAGTAAGAACTAAAACCCAAGGAGTCTCAGCTCTTCACCTGTACCTTCTTATATCTGTTCTTTCTAGAAATGGATAGAAAAACACAGGGTTCAGCAGAACACATACTCTATGGGGGACATCAGAACACAATTTAGAATGTTCTAGTGACAATGTTCTGAATGGCACTTTAGAAACGCAAGTGAATAACAAAGCCACTTTGAGCTTTAGGTACCACAAGGTAAATGATCTTAACTTCCAACTATACAACATGAATACAATAACAAGATATAATACATTACATGAATGTAATAATTATGATAATAAGTTATTACTGAGTCCTTGCCTTGGGTCAGGAACTTTTCCAACAACTTAACATGGATTAAGTCATTTAACTCTCAAAACGACCCTAATAGGTATGTGCTATTATTTCCCTTGTATAGATCAAGAGACTGAGGCAGAGAGAGAATATGACACTTAACCAAGGTCACATTGCTAGTAAGTGAGAGACTGGATTTCACACCTTGGCAGTGAGGCTCCAGAGTCCACTCTCTCAAGCCTTTCCTTATTAAATTGCTTGGGCTGTGCTGTGCTTAGTCGTTGAGTCATGTCCGACTCTTTCCAAGCCCATGGACTGTAGCCTGCCAGGCTCCCCTGTCCCTGGAATTCACCAGTCAAGAACACTGGTGGGTAGCCATTTCTCCAGGGGATCTTTCTGGAGAATTCAATGGACAGAGGCTACAGTCCCTGGGGTTTTAAAGAGTCAGACACAACTGAGCGACTAATGCTTTTTACCCATAGGGAACACTTAAAATGTTCTTGACAAAGTGAGATTAACTAGGTTAAAAAGTTATCATTCATCTGTCCATTTATACTACTACATATATACAATGGAATATATATTAGCCTAAAAAGGAATGAAACTGGGTCATTTATAGACATGTGGATGGACCAGAGACTGTCATACACAGTGAAGTGAGTCAGAAGGAGAAAAATATTGTATATTAATGCATATATGTGGAATCTAGAAAAACAGTACAGATGAATCTGTTTGCAAGGCAGAAATGGAAAACAAATGTGTGGACACTAAGAAGGGAATGGGGAGGTGGGATGAATTGGGAAACTGGGATTCACACATATACATTAGTATGAATGAAACAGATGACTAATGAGAACCTACTGTATAGCACAAGGAATTCTACTTAATGCTCTGTGGTGACCTAAATGGGAAGGAAATCCAAAATCAAGTGGATATATGTACACAAGATATAGCTGATTTATTTCTCTGTGCAATAGAATCTAGCACAATGTTGTAAAGGAACTATACGCCAGTTGAAAAAAAAGTTATTCATTCATCTACCCATTTATATACCACATATCCAACCACAGTAGGCTGGACATGAGACCCCACAGTGAATGAGAGAACTTCCTGAAATTGGCCAGTAACTAACAAATATGAAACAAAGTGAGCTTCAGCCAAAAGGCTACTATAACCATATCAATTATAATACCCATCTCAATAACGAAAAAACACATGGATATGTTATTACCTCAGTAATCTGGGCAATCCGATTGGCTTCATCATCTGTCATTTCCGAGAGGCACTTTGCTACACTGATATACAGCTCTAGATCATTTCTCTGGTAAAGAAAAATCCAAGCATGTCAAAATACAGTGTAAGATAAGACACATATTCTCACTCTTCTGACAAATCTTTAGCTTTACTTATCTCCACGAACAGCAGCTGATGAGATTTTAATTTTAACCAAGCCAAAACTCGTGGCCAATTTTTTTTATCATTTATACAACATCTTTTCTGTTATTTGGTGTATTTTGTTTGGCTGTACTTTTTTCTTATCAGAACCCATCATTCTAGACGGATTTTCTACTTCTTTGTACAACTACATTTCAGAAGTCTGCTGGGGGAGGGGCAAAGCTAGTATTAAGTCACCTGATGCAAATATTAAGTGTGTTGGACAATACGCCCAAGGATTCCCCAGGTGTAAGGGTTTCTGAACTTGCTCATCTTCTATAGGGCATTTGGTAAGAGACCTGAGAGCAAATTTCCTGGTGCTACACTGGTTAACCTGCTTCAGAGCGTGCTCAAAACTTTGGTTCTAAATTTTCAACCTCAATTTAGATTTTGGAAGCAAACATTCTTAGTGAAGAATGTGGTTATTTCTTGCTAGTCTTCCCACCACATTCTTAAAAACATACACCTCCCCGCTTTGCCAAAAAGGCTTTAAAAAATCCCAAACACAAATTGTCAGGAATGCAAATATTTTTGTTCCTCACCCGAATCTTATTTGGCAGGAGGTCAAAAATTTTCCTAGTAGCTTCGCTGAGCAGACTCCAGAGGTGGTGGGAAGGGCTGGGCAGTTTCATGGCCTGACTCAGGCCCTGTAAGGCACTTAGGCGTAACTCAGGACTGGAGAGTGGGGAAGCTGCTTTAAAAACTGCCACCATTAAGCTTTCAACAAAACCCACAGTCTGTTCATCAGAGACACATTTTATCCATGAAGGCACAGATAGGAGAAGGTATTTCTTGACATTCAGCTGAAAGAGAAACCGAAGAGGTCAGATGTCAACAGGCAAGTCTGGGTTTGTAATGCTCAAAACCTCTAGGTCATCACCGTCTGAGGATAAAATGAAATTTTAAAAGGTTCAGGTTGCTTCCTAGACCCTCATTTCCCCACAGCTTCATGAGCCAATGGATCACCAATGCCTGTGATGTTAGCTGCTGCAGTGACTTCTGATCTAGGGTGCTTGTGTGGATACGTGGCATCTGCCAATCCATCTGTGAACTACTCATCTCAAATCTTGGGTCTTTCCAGTGCGGGGAATAAAATGTTACTTCTCAAAGTACACGACAGTTGCTATTCAGTCTTAAAAGGTCACATTCTCTAGCAAGAAAAGCTACTGGAGATGAAGCCTCAACTGTTGGAAATTGGCTAAACAGAATATCTGATATTATTTATTTCTTCTTCTGAGAAAGCATGAGAAAATAATCAGGGGGACAGGAGTTCTGGGGCCAATTCTGAGCCAAGAAGAATCAGCCAAGCATGTGAAACTGACCATAGTGTCTTAGAGTTCAGGATAGCTAAAAAGGGTGTGGTTAGTGATAGCTATGAGCCATAGACTGTAAGGAAGCAAGCTTCAAAAATTCTTAGAAATGTTAAGTATGATACTAAAGGAGCAACAAGTCTGAAAGAAATGTTTTAAAAAATAAAATCTGACAAAAATCGGTAAATTTCTAAAAAGATCAATGTAGCTGCATGAGTTAGACAAGATTTCACATTAAAGAACATGCTATTTCAGATCTTTTTTTTTTAAATGAGAAGGTACATAATTTAAAAAATGAATTTACAAAACAATTTGTTAATTAACAAAGACAATAAGAAAATTTCCTAATCAAAGACGAATGTAAAAAAAAAAATAGGACAGATTTAAAGGAGAAATGGAAGGATAACTAAAACCTAGAAAAATATCTGAGATCAAGAAAACAAGCAGTTAGAATTATAGATGATTTAAAAGGAAGGAAGCATTATAGAACAGTGTGCAAGGCACAGGCTTCTGAGTCAGCCAGTGTTTCCAATGATGAGCTATATAAGCTTTGCTTAACAGCTACTTGCCTCAGTTTATCAACCTGTAAAATGGAAATAATTAAAAAAATCTACTTCTCAGAGGTGAAATAAGTAGAAATAAAAGCTTTCATATTGTACGATTCCATTCTAAAGAATTTCTAAAATTTATATGAAATGTAAATTTATATGAAAGTTCTTTAAAGTAGCAAAATTATAGAGACCAAAAGAAGATCAATGGTAGACTGGGTCTGAGATTGGGAGTGGGGATTAACTATAAGTAGGCACAATGGAATTTTGGGGGGTGGTGGAAATGCTATTGGTGATGGATGAAAATGGATAAATGTACTAAGACTCATCAAATTATACACTTAAAATAGCCTTATTTTATGGAATATAAATCAGAACTCAATAGAGTTGTAAAAAAATTGGCCTGTCAGGGTTGTATATGTGCGTGCGTGCTCAGTCGTGTCTGACTTTTTTGCGAACCCATGGACTGTAGCCTGCCAAGCCTCTCTGTCCATGGAATTCTCTAGGCAAGCATACTGGAGTGGATAGCCATTCCCTTCTCCAGGGGATCTTCCAGACCCAGGGATCAAACCTGTGTCTCTTTCATCTCCTGCACTGGCAGATGGATTCTCTACCACTAGTGCCACCTGGGAAGCCCCTGTCAGGGTTGAAGAGAGATTAAGTCTGATGACTGACAGTGTTCACTGAGAGCTTACCAGTAGGAGCAACATAACATGTGATCATTAAAGGGCAGCTGGATGGGAGCTGCTTGGAGCAGACAGGTAACAACCTATTGAAAGGATAACACTGACCTTCAATTCAAAAGAATTAGGAGATGTAGGAAAACTTTTTATAAAAAAGCACAGAGTAGAGACTAAAGTCAAAAGACAAGGGCTTTTTCAGGAAAGACTACTGTCCTCCACTTTTAATACTAGCATTCTTTGGGGATTGCAAATAACTTGATCTGGGAAGAGAAGAGGAGCCTTGCCTAACTTTGTGGTTAACAAAGCTTTGGGGTCCTTTATCTGGCAGGGAGATTAGTAAATTGAGTAACAGACTACTTGGAAGATTAGCCAGGGCAATTTGAAAATGTTTGAGCACAATGTTTAGCCTTGGAAATGCACCTTAAAAACAAGCAGAGTAACAGAGTGTTCTGTTGCCCAGGTGCCTATTGAAATTTATACCTTATAATAGTGTGGGCTGTTCGGCAGACAGTATAGTGATCTGGAAATACTAAGAGAGCCTCCCGTCTTCCTATGAGTTGAGAACCTGATGTAATGATACTAAGATATTGACCCCTTTTACCATTCTCAAGTAAAAGTAAAAAGCAGATGCCCATGAGAATCTACATGTGTTAATAAAGAGATCCATATCAGTTTTTAATGCACTCATGAATTACAATAAAGATGATTATATACATAAAAAAAGATGAAATAATAAGAGCGCTTTTCACCATTCTCAAAGAATTAAAGCCTCCAGGAATAGAAGAATAAAAAAAAAGATCATTTAGTTCATAATCAATTGGTGAACCTCTAAGGAATCATGGAATATGTTTTTTTTTTTTGTCCTAACTTGAAATGTAACTGAAATGATACATCTTTGTTTATTTCATATCTTTAAATAATCTCACCCCATTCTTCCTACCTACCCTTAGTCTATACCCTGGAAGCTGGTGCCACTTCTATCACAAAGGCTAAGCTGGATCACTTCTTCCTCAGCATTTTACTCAAGCTGAACACCTATGGACAGAGATGTTCTACTCTCTCCCCCTACACCCTCCCACTTACATCCTCTGGGGTCTCTAATTTGATGCCTAATAAAATCCTACCAAGCTTTCAAGGCTCACCTTAATTGCTGCCTTTCTGTGAAAGGGAGGGATGAGGGATTGTTTATCGAAAGCATGTGGATTTGCCTTTCTTTTAATCCCTGTTGTAATGATTATGTAGATCATATAAACAAGTAAACCCAGGTTCCAGTAACTCTACAATTTTCTACCTGTGTGGTCTTGAGAAAGGAGCTTGAACATCTCTGATCATCATTTTCCCTTTTTCTTGTAATAAACATGAAAAGCATGAAAAGTTGAAAGCATACATGGTGATGGCTATGGCAGAGTTTCAAGTCCCACCATTTTCCAATCTCCTGGCCAGCTACCGTCAATTGCTCATTCTTTGTGAGATCCCACTTGTCCACTCTTGACTTTGAGAACTCATAACCAAATGAATGCTGATCTCCCCCACAACAACTATACCCTTGTGTTGCTCAACACCATTAATTACTACTTACACTCAGACCATGGATCAGAGGTGGCATCACCCACATTCCCAACAGTGCAGTGACATTCTGGGAGGACTGTGCCTGGGTCACCATAATTTCAAGACACAGTTGCTGAATCTCTTCACCTGAAAGAGAAGAAGGGAGAAGAATATCTGTAATGCAGGTAGGTGCCTCTTGTAACCCATGTTTAGGTTTCAGTGTCCCCAATAATACAGCTAAAGGTAAAAGAACTTTTGTATGATGTCTAACAGTAATGGAACTTCAGCAAACCATAAGGTATTTCAAGAGACATTTTTAGTTGTGAAACAAATGAATGTATCTACTGGATTAGAGGCCTGAGTCTTGGAACTGGTAAGGATCTTGAACTAGCTTGGCAAATTTCTCTTACAATGTTTAGACAAAACTAAAGACGCAAATACTATTAAAAATTTGAGAAAATTCTAGCTAAAAATCTCATTTTTCTTTTTTCTCTCCTCTCCACCTTGTATTCAGCACATAGACAAATCCAGATCTGGAAGGATTTAAAGATGTCACATTCTCTGATGATCCAGTCTTTTTTAAGCCCAATCCCCATCAGCAGATACATCTTCCTAACCAGGACTTTTCTTCTTTTTACTAAAATACCAACATCTTCAACATAGCACATATAAGTGGGGAGAGGCAGGGGAACATAGTTTTCAAATGAAATCTCTGGATATATAGTATGGTGACACCATATCTTACAAAGGATTAGGTTCAAATGAAAGCATTCCAATGAAAAATTGTGTTTAGTTAAAATCATCTTTGATTATCCTGTAAATTGCACATAAATTATAGTATACAAATCTTTTAGTATATCATATGTAAGTAAGCACCTACTGTAAATAATAGAGCACTCATGGCAAATGCACACACACATATATATATACATCCATAATTTATAGCACAGTTCAAGTTGTTCTTGCTGCCTCTTTTTTTGGAGGTGGGGGTGCAAATATTGATATATGAAGCTAAATTTCCATATGCTAATATGCTAACTCCATCATAGAATTTGCTTTGGACAAACAGAGGTGTGCATTGCCTTCATCTCTCACCACAAAGTACCCAGGATAAACAGAACAATCTGTCTACATCTAATCTCTGGAATTTGTGACTATGTTCCCTTGCTTGGCAAAGGAACTTTGCAGATGTGATTAAGGTTAAAGACCTTGAGATGGGGAGATTATCCTGGATTATTCAGATGGACCCATTAATCACATGAATCTTTACAAGTGGAAAACCTTTCCTGCCTTCAGAGAATCAGAAAGATGACAGAATGAGGATTCTTTAGCCCTCTGCTGCTTGCTTTGAAGACGAAGAAAGGGAGCCACAAGCCAAGGAGTGGGCATCCTCTAGAAGCTGGGAAAGGGAGGGGAATGGAATCTCCCCATCTCAGTCTGTTCGGACTGCAATAACAAAACACTACAGACTGGGTGGTTTACAAACAACAGAGACTTATTTCTCACAGTTCTGGTGGCTGGAAGTCCAAGATCAGGGTATCAGCATGGCTGGGTGTCTGGTGATAGCCCTTTTCTGAGCTGCAGTCTACTGGCTTCTTTCTGTGTCTTCACAGTGTGGACTGAGGACTTTTGTGGACCTCTTTTAGAAGGACAGTAATTCCATTCATGAGGGTTCCTCATGACCTAATTGCCCTTGAAGGACCCACCCCCTAATACCATCACACTGAGGGTTAGGATCTCAACATATGAATTTTCAGGGAACACAAACATTCAAGCCACATCACTCCCCTGGGCAACAAAGGAAGGAATGTTGTTCTGTTGATACCCTGATCTTAGTGAAGTGAGAACTATGTTGGACTTCTGACTTACAGAACTGTAAGATAATAAATCTGTATAGTTTCAAGCCACTAAGTCTGTGGTAATTTGTTACGGCAGCAACAGAAAACTAATACAGCATCCCATAGGGCATTTCGTTGAAACCTGGAGTTCTGGAAGTGCAGTCTGATAACCATCAAACCAGGCTTTCTGTGATCTACGCTGCACACCCAGCAACATGCACATCTCAGTCGAGTACTATTCTGATGAGTGCATCTGGTATATGTCTTCAAAACTCCTCCTACCCCTCAGCTATTTAAAAAGTGACTCAATGAAGTAACCCAGCTGTCCCACCCAAGAAGACAAACCTTAAGTTCCCAGAGGTCCACTCAGTCACTATCAATTGTGACAAAAAATCTCACTTTCTATTCAGGTCACAACCTAAAAGCAGAGTCTGAAGACCTAAAAACACATGATATTTACCAAAGTTTAGCCTCATAAGTGGAGAGAGGAGAGCAGCCCAGTTCACAGGAGGATACTGGTGGTTTTCTCCAACAGTTGCTATAGGTTTCATCACAACTTTGAGAAGGGAAGGGGGCACAGATTCAGGACCTGCAACAGAAAGGAAAAAAATAATAAAACCACTCAATAGCCTCATGAAAGTGAAAGATGCCAACTTTCCCTCCTTTCTACTCATTTCCAAGGATTCGGTATCACAGCTTCAACTGTGTTCGCCCTTTCAATTCTGTGCCCTTAAAGTCAATCCCATTTGCTACCAACTTTGCTCCCTCTATCCTCCTTTCTCTTATTTGCTTCCAGTCTTTCCTTCTTGTCTGGATAGGAATGTTCCACATTGCTAATTAACTCTCTTCCATGCTCTCTCATATCTTTTCATTGAATTTCCTAAAAACTTACTCTATGTTATTGCCTTATCTCTCACTCATTCCTTAATCTGCTTCCAGAAGAGGAGATAATTACTGCCACTCAGGTCTATCCCCTTCTCAGGACAAAGGGTTGCTTCGGTCCCTGTGGCTCTAAATGGTTACAGGCTGTCCATGTGCTCTTTGCTTCTTCTTCTCCTCAGCTTGTGCCATGGCTGACGGCTCCACAGGAGAAATAACATAATAGCTAATCCATAGTTGAACAAGCTAAGACACAGCACCATGACTTTAGTGATATATTCTTTAAAATTTTTTTTTTTTTTTTTTTTTAGGTGGGAGGTAATTTGAAATTGAAAAAATCAGATGCTCTAGTAGTTTTGAGTGGAGCCATAAGGTAAAGCCAAGGTTGGAGTAGCCAGTGAGGATCATGAAGAAGTGAAGTCACAAGGAGGTCAGAAATGATGTATGAAAAACTAGGAGACAAAGGAGGAGAAGTGAAAGCAGCAGGAGGATCAATGTAGGCAGCAGAAAGGAAATTAGCATTAGCAGAGAGAGAAGCAGAATTAGCAAAAAGAAAAAAAAAAAAAAGCAGGGGTGGAGTCAGAAGACAAAGCAGCAGCAGACACTGAAATAGGGGAAAGCCAAGACGGGGGCAGGGCCAGCAAGAGGCCCTTCTCTTCCCAGAGAAGGGGTGCAGGAGAAAGGAGAAGCAGAGGTAGGAAAGCAGCAAAATCAGCAGACTCTGAAAAGTGGGAAAGCAGAAGTGGGCAAAGAGTCAGCAAAAAGAGAATCAGCTGCTGAAAGGAGAAGCATGGGAAAAGGAGAAGCAAAGGCAAAAGGAGTAGCAGAGGTAGAAAAAGTGTCAGAATCAGCAGACCCTGAAAAGTGGGAAAGCAGAAGTTGGGACAGAGTCAGCAAAAAGAGAAACAGCTACCAAAAGGAGAAGCATGGGAAAAGGAGAAGCATGGAGGAAAGGAGAAGCAGAGGCAGAACAAACATCAGAAGCAGTAGATCCTGAAAAGTGGGAAAGCAGAAGTGGGCATAGAGGCAGCAAAAAGAGAAACAGTTTCTGAAAGGAGAAGCATGGGAAAAGGAGAGGCATAGGCAAAAGAAGAAGCAGAGGCAGAAAAAACAGCAGAATTAGCAGACCACAAAAAGCGGGAAAGCAGAAGTTGGGACAGAGTCAGCAAAAAGAGAAACAGCTGCCAAAAGGAGTAGCATGGAAAAAGGAGAAGCAAAGCAAAAGGAGAAGCAGAGGTGGAACAAGCATCAGAATCAGCAGACCATGAAAAAGTGGGAAAGCACAAGAGGGGACAGAGTCAGCAAAAAGAGAAACAGCTGCCGAAAGGAGAAGCAAGGGAAAAGGAGAAGCATGGGAAAGGGAGAAGCATGGGAAAAGGAGAAGCAAGGGAAAAGGAGAAGCATAGGCAAAAGAAGAAGCAGAGGCTGAACAAACAGCAGAATTAGCAGACCACAAAAAGCGGGAAAGCAGAAGTTGGGACAGAGTCAGCAAAAAGAGAAACAGCTGCCAAAAGGAGAAGCATGGGAAAAGGAGAAGCACAGAGGAAAGGAGAAGCAGAGGTGGAACAAGTAGCAGAATCAGCAGACTCTGAAAAGTGGAAAAGCAGAAATGGGGACAGAGTCAGCAAAAAGAAAAATAGCTGTCGAAAGGAGAAGCAAAGGCAAAAGGAGAAGCAGAGGTAGAACAAGCGTCAGAATCAGCAGACCATGAAAAAGCGGGAAAGCAGAAGAGGGGACAGAGTCAGCAAAAAGAGAAACAGCTGCCAAAAGGAGAAGCATGGGAAAAGGAGAAGCATGGAGGAAAGGAGAAGCAGAGGCAGAACAAGTAGCAGATTCAGCAGACCAGGAGAAGTGGGGAAACAGAAGTGGGGACAGAGTCAGCAAGAAGAGAAACAGTTGCTGAAAGGAGAAGCTTGGGAAAAGTACAAGCACAGGCAAAAGAAGAAGCAGAGGCAGAACAGCAGCAGAATTAGCAGGCCACAAAAAGTGGGAAAGCAAAAGTTGGAACAGAGTCAGCAAAAAGAGAAACAGCTGCCAAAGGAGTAGCACGGGAAAAGGAGAAGCACAGAGGAAAGGAGAAGCAGAGGTGGAACAAGTAGCAGAATCAGCAGACCGTGAGAAGTGGGGAAACAGAAGGGGAGACAGAGTCAACAAAAAGAAAACCAGCTGCAAAAAGGAAAAGCATGGGGAAAGGAGAAGCTAAGGTGGAAAAAGCAGCAGAATCAGCAGACCCTGAAAAAGGGAGAAACAGAGGTGGGTCAGAGTCAGCAAAGGAAAACCAGCTACAAAAAGGAGCATGGAAAAACAGGGAGGTGTATGCAGAATCAGCAAGAAAAGTAGAACAATTAGTAGAAGTTGAAAAATAGGGAGAAGCAGAACTAGAAACAGAATCAACAAAAGGTCAAATAATTGAAGAAATGAGAAGCATAGGGAAAAAGAGAAACATATAAAAATGGACAGAGTTTGAATAGACATTTTCCGAAAGATGGTACACAAATGGCCAAAAGAAATGTGAAAAGATGCTCAACATTCACTTCAGTTCAGTCACTCAGTCGTGTCCGACTCTTTGCGACCCTATGAACTGCAGCACTCCAGGCCTCCCTGTCCATCACCAACTCCCAGAGTTTACTCAAACTCATGTTCATCGAGTTGGTGATGCCATCCAGCCATCTCATCCNCCAGTCTGTTGTTCCATGTCCAGTTCTAACTGTTGCTTCCTGACCTGCATATAGGTTTCTCAAGAGGCAGGTCAGATGGTCTGGTATTCCCATCTCTTTAAGAATTTTCCAGTTTATTGTGATTCACACAAGGCTTTGGCATAGTCAATAAAGCAGAAATAGATGTTTTTCTGGAACTCTCTTGCTTTTTCAATGCTCAACATTATTAATCATCAAAAAATGCAAACCGAAACCACAATAAGATATCACCTTATACATATTGGGATGGCTACTATTTGGAAAAAAATAATGAAAAGAAAAAATAACAAGTGTTGGCAAGAATTTGAGGAAAGTAGAACCCTTATACACTTTTGGTGGGATTATAAAACAGAAGAACCATGATGGAAAACAATAAGATGACTCCTCAAAAAATTAAAAATGGACCTACCTTATAACCTAGCAACCCCACTTCCAAAATTGAAAGTAGAGTTTCAAAGAGACATTTGTATGCTCATATTCATACTATTCACAATAGCCAAGAGCAACCCAAATGTCCATTGATGGAGAAGTGTATAAACAAAATGTGATATATACATAAAGTGGAATAGTATTCAACTTTAAAAAGAAAAGAAGTGATGTTATATGCTACAATGTGTCCTCAACTTTGAGGACACTATGCTAAGTGAGATAAACCAGTTGGATAAGACAAATGCTATATCAGTTCAGTTGCTCAGTCATGTCCAACTCTTTGTGACCCCAGGGACTGTAGCACGCCAGGCTTCCCTGTCCATCACCAACTCCCAGAGCTTGCTTAAACTCATGTCCAAGGAGTCGGTGATGCCATCCAACCATCTTATCCTCTGTCATCCCTTTCTCCTCCTGCCTTCAATCTTTCCCTGCGTCAGGGTCTTTTCCAATGAGTCAGTTCTTTGCATCAGGTGGCCAAAGTACTGGAGCTTCAGCATCAGCATCAGTCCTTCCACTGAATATTCAAGACTGATCTCCTTTAGGATGGACTGGTTGGATCTCCTTGCAGCCCAGGGGACTCTCAAGAGTCTTCTCCACGTGAAAAACATGGAGTGAAAGTGAAAGTTGCTCAGTTGTGTCCGACTCTTTGCACACATGAACTGTATGGAATTCTCTAGGCCAGAATACTGGAGTGGGTAGCCTTTCCCTTCTCCTGGGGATCTTCCCAACCCAGGGATCAAACCCAGGTCTCCCACATTATAGGCAGATTCTTTACCAATCAAGCTATCAGGGAAGCCCATTCCTCTCAAAAACCACAGTTCAAAAGCATCAATTCTTTTGTGCTCAGCTTTCTTTATAGTCCAACTCTCACATCCATACATGACTACTGGAAAACCATGGCTTTGACTAGATGGACCTTGGTTGGCAAAGTAATGTCTCTGCTTTTTAATATGGTGTCTAGGTTGGTCATAGCTTTTCTTCCAAATGCTGATTCCACTTAAATCCAGCAAGTAGAATAGTCAAATTAACAGATAGGGAAGGTAGAATGGTGGTTACCAGGATCAGGAAAGGAAGAAAGGGTAGTTTTTGCTTAATGGGTACAAAGTTTTAGTTTTGCAAGATAAAAGCATTACAGAGATTAGTTTCACAATGATGTGAATATAGTGTAATCCTATATAAATGTATTCTTAAAAATGGTTACGATGGTAAATTTTATGTTTTTTATACTTTAAAAAAGTTTTTAAAAGGGTGACTTTTGGTTTTCAGATCTACACGTAAGAAGTTTGGCAATTACCACTCTATTATAAACATAAAAATCTAAACAGACTAAGAATCAACAACTCTTTTGGATACTTAAGAAAGGGCAAGATGCTGTCTCCAAGACCAGAGAGCCAAACAGACGAATACAGGGAATCATGGCTTATCTGGGCAGAAACTCAGAGCGGAGAATGCTGCTTGAACAGTGCTGTGGCAGGAAAATCTGAACTACGTTTCATGAAATGCTGGAGGCCCTATGTAGACAAGTCCTATGTCAACAAATTTGATAACCTAGATGAAAGCTATCTACAGACTCAACACAATACCT